TGGTCCATTGAAATTTCAATTTTTTTTTCTGACTCCCAGTGACGTCACGTTAATTCGTCATGTCGTACTTGCTGACGCGAGCCGAGGTGACCCCAGACGTCATGGCCGTCGTGTATAAATTTGAATATTTCTTTGATATTCACAGACAGATTACCAGTGTCTCTATATACCATTTTTGAAAAGGAGGACCATCGAAAATTCCGACGTCGGGTAACGCGACAACAAGTGATTTTCAAAATTATGCTTGACCCTCATTAACACAGCAGACACTGATGGGCATGCGTTGAAATTCAATGTTAATGCCATTTATTAATTTTCGTCAATGTAAAACCTTGCGATTGACTGTGGTCATGATTATTTTTAACTAATTCGAACCTGTACGTACCACTGTACTTTACTGTGACGAATCGCAAAATCGTTTCGGTTCTTTCCCTATGACTTTTTATCATTCGTAATAACGTACACGTTATTACGTTTATGACGAAAAAAAAATAATGCCGGTAACTTACGTGCCGTTACGCGGCACTGCGTATTACTTGATATAATCAAAATTAGTCTCAATTTATTTGTCAAGGGAAACACGATGACGAGGACGTTCGACGGACGTTGTTTTTCAAAATACCGCGGATGATCGTAACGCTACGATAATTAAATTTCTGGTAAAAAAATTTAGTCGCAAAATTTCTTGACCTGCAAAATTTCGTTGCTATAACAATTTACGATAGGCGGAATTTAAAAAAATATTTGCTATCCGATCACGTGCCCATTAAACAATTTCTCGTTCAACGTATTACAATTCTTGTAACGTATAAGATAATAGAAAATCTTGATAAGAAAATTCGTATGACGTACATACCTTTATTTCAAGAGTTCACAAGTCGTATGTGTATAGTATAATCCCGAAGAGGCGGTCATTGAAATCAAAAATGACTAGCAATATCCGTGTAGTTTAAACTCACGCATATCAATAGTCCTTAGTTTCTAGCAATAATTAATCAACAGTCAACGCTAAATTGTAATTGATTTACGGTAGATAAATCGGCATTTATTATATAAACGAGTATTCTTTGCACCGTATACGGCAACGCGTGCGTAAAGATATTAGTTCTGGTGACGTTAACGCGACTAATGTCCTTATTAGGTATAATAATAAAATTATAACGTCACATTATAACCGTAAAGATACCGGAAGTTAAGGTCAGTCGAATAAGTTACCTGAATCCTTATATTTCGTTTAAACGCCATTTCAGATTTCAAATTACTATATATATATATTGATCCGAGCTTCATTTTGACTGAACGTTGCTGCGTCAGCGTGAAGAAATTGCAGGCGGAATTTGATCGTGGAATTTTGAAGACAATAGATCCTTTGTTTGCGTCGGTAAGGCAGACGGGATTACTGGTCCGCTGAGTCAAATGTCTACAGCCTTAAAGTATGTAAATCGATTAACGCACATAAGGAAATGTTAGCAGCTCGCAGCTTGAGAATTCTCAGCTGGTGCCTTGAGACAATTGAATTAGCCGGTACGTTGACATGTGCATTGTCGGTGGGATTCGGCAGAAAGTTATTTCTTCATTTTGTTAAGTCGTTTAGTGTTTTACTTTTACTCGTACTTTTACTTTCACGGGTATAAACGAGAGTGCGTTACCAGGATCATTCCTTGAATTTGGCAATTATCTAATTTTAGTCCTTGACCTATTTCCGGGTTCGATATGTCCTTCGAATACGAAGGATTTCTGGTACAGATAACATGCGCCATCGTGTGACGTGCAAATTGTCAAATACAAAGGGATGGAAAATCAACGTGGTTGATAGCGAAGGACGTTATCTAAACGTTGCAGGAAAGTTACGTCAGTTGGTAGCCGAAGGATTGCCAAACTGGTATACGAGTAGCATTGCAGCTTCAACGGGTGTCTTATGGGTCTGGTAACCTTGACTCGTGCTGAAATCGTCGCACGTAGTACAGTAATTGGCATTGAAACACCGACAATTTCAACAGCATTGATCATCAACTCCTTTTCGTGTTGATCAAGACCTGCTTAACCTGCACTCTCTAGTTTCTCTTTTGACACCCGAATAAGCACTACGATACAAATTGTTAATTATACTTGGCTCTGAAATATTGTCAACAAGAAACACTCGTTACAGTATTCCCTAACTGTAATAAACCTACATTCACGATACAACACTCAGAATTGAAATACGTGTATAATGAAATAAAAGTAAAATCAGTGAAAAAGTGGACTTTCCGATAAATACTTTTTAACGTCAGTCAAAGAAATCTTATAGCAAACTCAATGAATTTGGAAGTAAGATCCTGAGATCTTATAAGTCGAGCGTCGTAGACTTTATAGCTTTGGCGAAGGAAGTGCTAAGGCTCTGAACATATGGGACTCAAAAGGTATAGAAGTGGAGGTGGAAGTTCATGAGGAAAAGGTGGAGGCTTAGGAATAGTTGGAGGGAGAGTACACAACGAGGCTATAGCTTGACGGACCTGGTGAGTCGGTTCTCGTTGGTCAGTCTTGCGGCAGGACTCGAAAGTAGAAGAGGGCCTCTTTCGCGATCTTATTTGGCTCTACGTTTCTCACTTCGCCTGTCCGTCCGTCGGTACACACGACTTCTCTACACGTTGCAAGGAAACTCGTACGGTAGAGACAGGACGTGTCTTTACGATTAATACGGTAATACGGCTCGATTGTGTGTGCTGTGACGTTATAATAATCCATGGTGCGTTCTATTTGGAATCATCATTCAATGACGTTCACTGGACGGGATTACACTTAGTTCGTTGATACGAGCAGAAAGAGCGACTCCGATTTTGAGGAAAATCATACTGATTGCGCTTTGCTAAACGTCCAAAGGGGTGCGGGGTGCAACCTTTATATCTACGATTGTACGTGTACGTATTTGCAGATTTATGTGTATTGGGACTAGTTTTTGAAGTTTTTGTGAAGGATCGAGGAGAAGTTGAAGAATCGAGTGAATATTAATATTCGTGGTATATTCAGGAATTGTACAGGGTATTATATAGTAGGATAGGTATTTTGTTTTTATGGTATAATTATGTAATCGACTGTCTGTCAGATGTGACAATGTAATTTGAATGATAAGTAGTTCGGTCGCGTGAGATTTTATCTTAGTGGATAAAATGTCTGTCGTACTTTATTATTCATTATATTGAATGATTTAACGGTTTCCGCGAAAATCTTTCAAGTACTTATGGATATGTATTACAGTTATGTATACGCGTATACGAATGTCTGACATGACGTAGGTGTTAGAATCGTGGAAATTGGAACGTTGACGGAACCAGTGTGTAGGACTTGAGGAACGTTGAGAAATGGACCGGCAAGTTTTACAGTAACGGAATGACTTGGTTCGATAGGAATAACTAGCGCGAATCAGATTTACATATTTTTTTCAAATAATTATACGGGAATTTCTGTATAGCATTGAAAATAGTATAACAATTATTATAGTATTAATTGAGAACCCATTCTTGTTTTGTTTATGTACATTTCCACACAGTACTCAGAAATACTGTATGCTATATTAACAGGTAGAGGGGTGTGCAAGACAGCCGGAATACAATTTCGTAAAGAAATCGCCTCAAGATAGTCTGACACGGCGTGAAAGACCGAGAGAAATATACTTTCTAGACGGCACAAAGGAAAATGCAAGTTAGCACGAGACCGTAAAAGTATCGTCCATTAGCGCGGGTCTCGTCACCTATTATAATTGGACAATAATTCCGCCGCGACCTTCGAAAACGTTATTTCGAATCCGCAAAATCTTACTTTCCTACAATTAGATTCGACCTACAGTCCTTAATTAATCGAATGAACATTTTAAGTTATAATAAATATCGAAAAAGAAAAATTTAACATTAGTCATTAGCTCGGATGCTTCATCGAAGGTTCTCGTACAGGTGCATTTGAATTTGGCGCCTTGAGCCGTGAAATTAAACCCTAGGTGTCTACAAGGCGACTGGAGATCGTTGACCGGTATTTTGGTAAATTAGGTAATTATTTGTGTGGCAATCGCGGAAGAGCTTGACTATAAAATAAATATGAATTTATAAAAAAACTGATGAAACTAACTGGAAAAAGATGCTTCGTCCATTTTGATGTTAATTCAACTGTGATCAATATTTCTCATGTACTTAATGACGGATGGAAATTATTAATATTTTATGGGGGAAATATTACTGCCAATGCCATTACTCAGTACTTCAAAGAAAACTGGAGTATAAGCTTTATCGATTCTGTATACTATACACGGCAGTAGTTCACTGGACAGTCGACGGTTTATAATAAACGTAACTGACAATCCATAACAGTCCTTAGAAAGTAAGACGAACAGCCAACTGGTCGATACGTGGTTACGGTCTTCGTGAATAGCAGGAACGTCGTCAATGTTGACATTCCTCATTTTGGCTGTTAGTAGTGAAGTTAGAGTGAAGAAGTTGGCAAATTTTCGATTGATGCTGATCGCCATATTACAAAAGATTGATTTTTGAGTAAAAAAATTATCAAATATCGTGAGTTATGTTAGCTAAAGAAAACGACATTATTCACGTCTGATGCTTCGCTCGACCTCATTTTCTTCACAGTTGATTGACGGGTTGACAGAAAGTGGCGGTTAACCTCTTAAGTCGAACAATAAGAATTTTTGCTCGAATATACAAAAAAAATATCGAAATCTAAAATGCGTATATACGGATTACAAATCTCATACGACTTTATAATACGCATAATCAATAATCTCGTAATGCCTTCTTGTACCCTTTATTTATGACTCATGTTAGATATTTCGTAAGAGCCACGCAACTAAAGTTTCGAAAGAAAAACTTTAATTCAGCCATAGCCACAGGATGAGATGTCTGCGGAGTGTAATGAAAAGGCCTATAAGAAAATACCCGGATGTATAACTTACTCGATATGTAATTCTAATTAGAAGAGAAAAAAAAAATTTTAAAATCGACTAATCATCAACACGGTCAATTTTTCATAAAATTTATTCTCGTCAAACGAATTGCAAAAGCTTCACAATGGAAAATCACGTCCTCTGCTTTTCTCTTCTCGTTAGTTTAAGAGTCAACCGTACCGATAAAAATAACGTTTTATTTGAATTAAAATATAAAATATTTTCACCACAATAATGGAATTTGACTCAAAGGAATTGTCGAGGCTTGTGACGTAAGTAGTGAGATTTTAATTACGCTCACAAAAGCCTACCGTCTGACTTTCCCCGTGAGTAAACATTCTTCTTTGGTGTAACTGTCGTCCTGAATAATCCCAGTGGGTTATGGGTCGGGTCGTGAATCTTTGGTCATAATCTAACGCACGATTATGCGTTACATCTAGAATCGGGAGACGGTCGAAACTTTTCCCGAAGGTGGTACCACGGAATGTCTGATTGAGAAGTTTTTAGTAGGTCAGCTGGTTATACGGGACGAAACTATGACGTAAACATGACTGACCGGTATTCGGGATGCACGATTTTGATACCAGCCACAAGGGGCCAACCCACGTAGATACATAATATCTAGATACTCCTTTATTTCTCCTATGACCTAGAGACTGTAATTCGGGAATTTCATAACAGTCAGATAAAAATATGCAGATTGAGTTGTTATATCAATAAATTTTTGTATCTTACATGATTTTGTGGAATCTTCCGTTGTATGAAATCACATACTATTCCATGGTAGTCATTGGTCTTGTGTAGATGTCATTTTATACTGCGAGACAGAACTTGATTTCTTGACCAACTTGCACGGCATAAATAATTAGGATTTTTTTTATTGACTTGCGCAATTGCTCCCGCTTCTCATATACGCGCAGGTGTGTTCTGTTATGCTTAGTTACTTGGCTTGCAGTTTATCCACGAGGAACGATATTTAGAAAGGACTTTTTATACCTAATTCTTGTACACAGTGCGTAATTTATTAATGGCGATCGGCAAGTATCTGTGGAAAAAGTAATTTGAAAGGAAAGCAAGATTTAATTAAATATTGCAATGCACTTACGGATATATAAGGTTATTCCGGAACATTGCACCGAGCGAAGTTAGCTCGTTCGTTCGAATCGGTACAATAGTCTACTGAACAGCTGTCTGTAGGCATGATAAATTTTCCAATAAAAAATGTGCGACTAGAACTGACAAAACAACATAACAGTATATTGTTATTGGGTTATACTTTATTCCCTGAAACCTTTTTAATAATTATTTTATTGGTCAAAAGAAATATCGCTGGCCTTCGCGTCAGGTTGGTTCACGTGAAGTGGCGTATGGATATTTTAATTAAACCACCATGACACTCACTTGGCATTGGCAGTGCTAAGGATACCAGAGTGAACAAATATACAAACATAATAAAAAATAAATCTAGACATTCTCGGCTTTTTCCGAAGCTCGAAGGGTACACTGTGAGTCAGATATTTCCCAGCAGGTTATTGTATTATAATTGACTACAGAGTAAATTTCACATTTGAAGTAAAGTAAGACTACCTTATCGGTAACGTAGTTATTAATTGCTAAATTTCATGGTCAAAAAGGTAACTCGCAGATGCACGAGATTGCCCCGGACGAATTGTAAATCAAAGGTGAATTCGATGCAAATGTCCTGCTAATCTATTGAAGAATATAAAAATAAATAATAAATAGTTAAACACAATAGCCACAGGTGTCAATGCAGTATTCCACAATGGTCGACACCTTTATAAAATTCGACTTGACCATGGCCCATTAAAAAGAAGGAATAACTCAAGCTAGTCTTTCCACATGTGTCTGGGAGTCAAGTAAGCGCGTGTCGTCGTATTCCGAGGCGGAATGCTGAATTATCTTGCGCAATCTACACCATCGAGCATTACGCGGCCATCTTGGATTTCGAATTTCGAATACTAAGCATCATTACGTACAGCACCATTAATATTGGCAAATATGATGTATCCTGATGCCATTGTATATTATGCCATTCGTGTAATCCGAACGCACAAACCGCATGGATACCCAACTGATTTCGCTATGTGATTTCGTTGAAATGCACTTTACCTGACGGCTTATCAAAATTCATTCACCAATGCGCTGCGAAGGCGAAGTTTCAATAATGACACATTTAATCATCCACAAGTAGTCGTACGGAACTGCCGTTCGGCTGAATTTAATTATCGAAGGATATGGCGGATATCGATCGTTAACAAGAACGAAGTCGTCGAATTTCCTATAGTCAAGCTTCGAGAAAATAATGTCTCGTTCCCACTTATTTAGCATTAACGGAATGACATCGTTGTAATGGTACTTACTCCGGTAATTAATCAATATCGTAACTATCGATTACGCCAAGTATAAATTTACCAGTCTCTTGCTTCCATAGAACCGTTTTTTTGCAATCATCCGTAAATTTGAATTTTCTTTCGTGTAACGAGAGGGAATTGAGGGTGACGTAATTTTCCGGAAACTGTGCTGCTTCTATTAGTTCATTTTTTTTTGCCAAAGAACGAAGTTGATTAATTGGTAAATAATTCGTTCGGATTCGCCAGATCTAACGACCATTTCGCAAAACTTCTTAACGCGGACATTTTCACTCTTATCCTTTTTTATGTCTCTCGCTTGACTTTTATTTCTCTCTTAACGGAAGTTGCTTAATTGTTTCCTTTGGTTTCGGTCTCTTCCCAGAAAAGAAATTACACCGGACGTCGAGCGCTTTGACACGGATACATTTTGGCGGTAAATACAAAATCTTACGCATTCAAGTACATATGAAGGAAACTGTCATCCCGATGATTTATGAGGATTTTTTAAAGAGAAAATAATCTTTGATAATTTTCAGATTTTTCTTTTTCTATTTAACAACAACTCTATCGTTTAACAACTCGAACGAGGCGTATAATGTCTATCGCGTGGAAGCGTGAAAATAATACGAGTCCGCGATCTTGATGCACTCTTAAGGATGATAGATAGCAATGGTGTAACACGCGATGACTAACAATATACATTGCGAGTACACTAAAGACTATGCTAATTTTTAATTTTTATACTGATTCTTCTACATTATTCAACATATTATCATGTTGGATTACATAGAAATTTCGAAGAAAAATTGCAATATCTCTTACGCCGGTACCTATGCACGAAAATACATAAAAATATTCTATACGCTTAGTACAAAATTCCCTAGGATTTTCATACTAGAAAACCATCATATATATCGTCTCTTATTGGACATGCATAGCTACGCTACATATACCGCCATAATACACTCAGCATGTGCTCCCGTATGTGAGCTGGTTGCCCAATGAAACTGCTAAGCGTCAGCGAAAAGAAAGCCGCGAGTTTACGTAACAGTCTTTGCTGACTCCTTCTGCCAGCGTGCAATCCAGAATAAACGGCCGGCTGCAGGCGAGATTCCTTTGAATCCTATAAAATTCCAATAGAAGATATTTGATACGTTAAACAGCTGACTTTTTAGTTGAGGAATTTAGCACTGAAAAACTTTTTCTTCAGAGGCTACTAAATTTTACCTCACGGTTATACAGTAATGTATGATCGATCTTTTTATTACTGTACCGCACAGTCCGTGACAAATTTATATTATCATTCATTCATATTTCTTCCATAATGTAACGGTCAATCGATTTGCATCCCCTTTGTCATTTGCACAGTTATAAATACGATTTCCGTATATTCCTCGAGCCTCTTCATTGTCCCATAAAATTTCTTAGTGGTTTTATATTATCATTATTTTTTTCGCGTACCTACAATCATATGTGTATCTGTCCATGTATATTTATGAGATTCCATTCGCATAAAGGTAGACTCGCATGCTCGCCCCTAGTACATGATGCATACTTGACATATATTAGAATGCACGGTATGTCTTACTCGGCAAGGCGTAACATTTTTATGATATTCAAGTTTTCGAAAACACATCGAGTATTCGTACTTGAGAAATTCAAAAATCGTACAATTGTTACGTATTTCTTAGGAGTACTCGTATAATTGACTATGGACCGTCTATCGGTAATAGATTTTTTAGGGGCCAATTTCCTATGGCCTTTAACGCAAATGAGTCACCTAGACTCGATCTTTTATCTGCTGAATGGCTGTAGACGATTTTTGAATAAATTAAAAAAAAAGATTTTAATATTAATTTTATACAATGTCAAGTCTGACTTGTGTCTCAAGAGGAAGTCGAGTGGGGATTAATGTTTATCGCTGCGATTGTTCCTTAAATAGTGATGCCAGTTACATTTTTATTGAAGTAAATTAGATTTAGGCAGATTTATTGGATTATTGGTCCGTGATTTGATTTTTAATTGTTGGATTTTCTTTCTTCTCTTTTTCAGCGACATCACTACGGGAGTCGACGGTGTACTTGGTAATTCAAATTCAATCCACACTATGCAGACTACGGAAAACGAAATGGACGGCACTATAACGCCTAATGCAGTTCTTGCAACTCCTGGACTGAATAATCAAGCCTGGAATCGTCAACAAGCCGTGAGCGTCAGGCACGCCTTTAAGACTTATGGCAGTAGCAAGAATCCAAATCATGTTATACAAAATCTCAGTATGACAGTAGCCAAAGGGTCTATGTAAGTACATGTTAAATATTCAAGCTTGTGCCATTGTATTCAGGGACCGTTAAGCGATTGTCGGTGATAATGCAAAATGAAATATTTTGCAACAACGAAATATGACATATGGATAGGACTGTACGGGAAATCATTAACCGTGTATATACACTTTTCTCATTGGTTAATGGAAAATTATCTTTGGTATTTGTTGCTTTTGCGCTTTTTTTATATCTCTTTCGCAATTTATGCGTAAATACGAGGATGATGTATACGCATGGAGATGACATGAATACGCAAATTTTCAAATGTACTCGACGCTTCATGGACGTCACGTTCTAGGAAATAATAAGGATCGTGGAATGGAGCGTAGTCGGATTTCAATTTTCAAAAAGAAATATCTGCAACGGTGGATACAAGCTGGGAGTTTACATAAAATATACTGGCAAAACCGGTAATACTGTTTATTAGCAAAAATACCCAAAATGAAAGCGTCCTTGCTCCAAAGAATATATCACACTAGCATATTAATTATTTTCATGCAAAATCTTCCGATGGCTCTTTTTTGAGTTCTCATGAGAGATTTGAAACTCCGGCTGTATTTATATCACAGCCTCGAACGAGATTCATTCTCTTTCATACAGTTATGGCTTTTTTAATAAAATTATGCTTTACAACCATAGTCTATATTTGTCAATAGAGATTGTAGATAAATTAAAAATTTATAATTAATCATCATTCAAATTCCAATCGGCAAATTCGTATTTATAGAACACGTGCCTAAGTCGTATCCTGCTTAAATATTTTGCCCGGAAGACATGTTTTTGAAAGCGCAAAAAAGATTTTTTGACTTGTAAAAATGAGTCAGCGCCAATTTTTGCAATCAGTGGAACTAATTGTCGATTGAAACAAATAATATTTGTTACAAGCCGTATAAAATCGAACGAGAACTCATCGATAACTCGGGATATATTGATTGATAGGAAATCCCATAAAAAGCTTCGATTAGAATATCTAAAGTCGATCGAATGATCTATACTTGTTATAGATCCAATCATCTCGTCTATGAAAATAAAAAATTGTCTGACGTTCCAAGTAGATAAATGTGCAGTCACCTTGATGAGCGTTATTTGCATTTCCTTGAATTTTACCTTGAACTGTACAATTTTTCCTTGTATCAGGATAATTCACCAAGAATCGCACGCACCTGTCATCATCATCGTGATATTATTTTCCTTCGAGATGATGATCCTGGTGGACAAAAAAAATATCTGAGTCACGTGCAAATTATTAAGTACCGGATTCATGCACTTCACATGGACTGTCAATCTCCATGTTTGAGCTTATGCCATAATCGGTACAGTCGTGCCTAATTGGATTAACAAAGCTCGTGTAACAACTAATAACAATTCAATTGACGATAACGTTGATAAATTCAATTATTCTATCAGCCAATTAAGACTAAAAATTACAATCGGGAAAATCAATAAAATATATTGATCCATTAAAAAAATCCAGACATCTTATTAATCATATAAAAAAAATTATTAGCAATCCTATCAAAAAATAATCGCGAAATACGTCTCGCAACTTGATATCGTGATTAAATTTCTAAGTCAGTGCAAGCGTACGGACCATCCACGAAATAATGTCTGAGTGCACGTGCACCCATATTCACGTTACGAAGGAAAAATATCCCGGAGCAATTTGCCTTCCCTTTTGGTAACGATCGACACTGACACGTGTTACTTCGTATCCCGGCGTGACTCAATTGGAAAGCCGGACATGTTTTCGGTAGTAAGGTGGAAATTTCTTGACGAACATTATTTTTAGTCTCAAGAAACGTGTCGAAACTTTTTGGTACTTCTTATATAATTACCCAAGCGGCACTCGTGTACATCTACACTGTAAATATGCACGAGTCTTTTCTCCTCTTTCCTTTTTATACGCACGCCAAAACGCCAACGTGTATAACAGCAGAGTTTCTGTATCTACAAGGCGTAGTTTGAGAATATTTGTAAGAAATTTATCAATAGCTTTCGCCAGCTCGTATTCACTCGTGCGTCACGTGGTTGCATTTACAATCGATCTAGTTAATAGACACGATGCGTTTGATCGTACGAATACCAAAGTACGATGATCACCAAGGGAATGTAAAAAATTTTGAAATTCGTTACGCAACTTTTTTTTTGACCAATTACGAAGTCATAATTTTATATTTGACTGAACGCAAACGAGAGTAGACCTTCACGAGATCACTTTCATTTTTGCCAGACCAAGCGAAAGAGAACGCCTTTCCCGTACTAGCGATTACTGGTCACTACAACCTCGATTACGTCAGGAACATTTCTCCCAAGATACTTCGCGTACACCCGAGTGTCGGATGCTGAACAAAGACGGAAATGATCGAATTTATGATTAAACGTGACTGTCGGTATCAGCGGGTGGTGCGAATTTCTTTCATCGATCCTTTCTTACCCGAAGCACATTGCAATTTCGTATTGAACGTCAATCTCCATTCAGTTTGCATATCATTGTCTGTTACGTGTACTGTCGTTATATGAATTTAAGATAATTTCGAAATTCCCCAAAAAATAAAGTGGACGTTTGCAACTCGCAAAGGGGCACGTAAAATCAACGGTATTTTGCAAACCGGAAGTCGTGACAGACGATTTAAACGCAAACAAGATGGTTATGAATTTTGGAGAAATCGAAAGAGGATGCGCATAATGCGTTGTTGCGTTTAATTTCCAAGAGAATATTTTCTTGTAAATTTCGCAAGCTCTCGGGTAGCCTCGTCCGTAACGTCCTTAGGAGAACGGTACCCGGTTATTTTCTCCGGCGTAATATATTTACTACGTGACGTCTTGGTAGGAATTCTTGGCTTGTCAGTAATTGTCATTACACGGAAGGTTAGATGGCAACATAGTACTATTAAGATTTTTTACGCTTTCTTCAAAAGCACGGTTCACCAGATAGACGCCTTCGCATCAATGGTTTATCATAGCAAGGAGTCCTTGTCAATGTCATTTCGAAAAATGAATTAAGTAGATTTCAATTACGTAACGTGACGTCATTTTCATTAATATCTCTTTTGACTTCCCTTCAACAGATACGGTCTCTTGGGTGCTAGTGGTTGTGGGAAAACAACCCTTCTGTCATGCATCGTAGGACGAAGACGCCTGAACTCTGGAGAGATTTGGGTACTCGGCGGTAAACCGGGTACGAAGGGTTCTGGTGTTCCTGGTAAAAGGGTTGGATATATGCCCCAGGAAATAGCCCTCTACGGGGAGTTCACCATCAGAGAGACTATGATGTACTTTGGCTGGATCTTCGGCATGTGCACTGCTGAGATTGTTGACAGACTTCGATTTTTACTGCAATTTTTAGATTTGCCCTCTCAAAATCGAATGGTGAAAAATCTTAGGTGAGATTTCGAAAATAATTATAGATTCATTTGATTCGTAAAATTTACTTCGTATTTTGCCAACTCGTTCGAGTGATCCTCGATAACTTTACGTCATCGGATTTTTCAGTTCATTGTATATCTCTAACTTGATTTCATCTTCGTTGTCTGTTTATCTATAGATATATTTATTATACACGAATTCAGATTATCCATGTAAAATGCATTTTCTTCCGAAGGGATAAAGTGCAGTGTTGAATAAAATTTTTGCTTGCAAATTCAGCGGAGGCCAACAGAGGAGAGTCTCCTTTGCTGTGGCACTCATGCACGACCCGGAACTTCTCATTCTGGACGAACCTACTGTCGGCGTGGATCCCCTGTTGAGGCAAAGGTGAGTCTTTTTTTTTTTTTTTGAACTATTTATATAGATAATACAATCGCTTTAACGTACCTGAGTAATTATCGCGTGCAGGAATCATTTAAATATTCGAAAACATGAGTCTGGGTCTTAGATGCTAGGTTTCAATGGGAACTTTGGACGTTGCAAGATGGTTGCTGGTCTGTCGACCACGTCTTGTTAAACTATTTTTGTCTGATCGACCGCGAGGAAAACCAGTTTTGCAAATAAACACGTATGGAAAAATGAGGGCTATTCTACCAAGACATGATTTTATGAATTTTAAGCAAAGGAAATGGAAAGGAAACGTAAGAGGTATTACTCTTTCGGTGAATATTCATATACCGAACGAATTAGCACTACTTAGGTGATTTTATGAAAATAATAGGGACTGGAATATATGAGCATTCTTAATCATCTACATGTTCAGCTTATCGATTCGGTCAGTTGTTTTCCTGGAAATTCGAGAATTTTTCCAAATCACGAACTTCCATAGATTAGTGATTGTACGTTAATTGGATTCCCTTGGAAAAGAACATAAAAATAGATGTTTTGGAAGAAGGTTTGTTTTTCAAATTCTACGTTGTCTCGTATTTTTACCGACCTTTGTATATTCATTGTGGAAATTATTGTGAATGAAGTATAGATGGAAAGTCACGCAATGTAAAAAATTCATTAAACTCGTAGGCTAAATGATCAATTGAAATTTTACCAGTCGAATAATATAATTAAAATGACTTTCATTTTTCGTCTATTGCTTCACATCGACTGTAATAATATTTGGAGCAATAATTTTCTCTTTTATTTCTATTAGATTTATAGCTTCTCATATCCAAGTATCAGGACCTGTGAAATCTCTTAATATTTAATTAGTTACTCGGATATAACATCGCCCGACGCTTCTCACGAATGTTCAGCGATTTTTTTAATTTTAACGTGTTCCGCAGACATAAAAAATTGTCTAATATTCCATGATAAATTTACGTACGCTAAACACGCCAATCTTTGCGGATTCTTTTAAATCATTAAACCTGTAATACTTAGATGGTCACGTAGGCTATTTTACGTTCCAGCGTGGGTTATAATTCAACTGTTTGAATGTTTATCGACAAAATTCAAAATAAAAGAATTTTGATTCACCGCTATCTTGTAAAATTTTCCAATTCCCGAATTGGGACGATTATTTATTATAAGAGAACAATTTTCAATACCTTTCAAGTCGACTAACGTTATTGAATTGTCATATTCTTTGATCCGGTAGTCATCGGCTCTACGGGACTAGTTATGTCTGCGGGATCACGTGAACACTTAAAGATCAATGAAATTCAAAAGCATCGTCCTAACACAATACGAGATCATGGATACAAGTGATAATCGTTCGCTAATTTTTTCGCATTGAACGAAAGAAACATTACAGTTGCGTCAGATATTGATAAGATATAACGCTCGAGGCACGCAAATTGCTAGTTTTTAACACAAGATCATTCGGTGTCAAGGTGCAGGCATTGCTAAGCCTGAAAAAGCCGCTTTGCGTATAACGTTTCATAAATAATGTATTAATATACTCGCCAGGACATTTCATCGCGGAACTTTTACGAACAGATATTGTCGATAGTTTCTCATTTTTCCATAAAGATAATTGGCCACGTACAGATTTACTTTCACAACAATATCACCTATATTTCTTATTGTACGATTCCAGTATCTGGAATCACTTGGTCCAAATCACCAAAGACGGCAATAAGACAGTCATTATCACAACGCATTACATTGAGGAGGCTCGACAAGCTCACACGGTAAGTTTTTTTTTTCCCTTTAGTAGCCAGCCTGATTGAAAAAAATAATTATATCAGCCTAATTGAATGTCTAAAAAAATAAATAAATTTATCCAACAGCACTGTAGTGAATGAGGTATTAAAAGGTGAAAAGGTAAAGCATTACGTAACGCTAACGCTTGTCCAATGATTTACCAAATTTTCGTAGCCAATAATTTAAATATAAAATTACTAGAGATAATTTTTCCCATCCAGTTGTCAGATACAAGATTGGAAGATCGCGGTTTATATTTATTGGACACTGGTTGATTTGTCACAATAACCTGACGAAATTTCTGCTCCGTTGATTGCACGATAAAAAATATTGAATGGCAAAGTGCATGAAATTCTCGGGCTGTTAAGTTTACCGTTTTACCTTTCGCTTTTTTCTTCCCTCTCAATGGTGAACGAACGCAGCTCGGTACCGGCTTACGTAGGACGGTACCAGTCAACTCGATTCGATATCGTTGCATACCTGTGCCGAGTGCATTTTGCTCCTTTTATCGCGAAAATTGCACATGCGAGCACAATTCTCGGGTCTGGCTAGTAATATCCAATACGGCGTAAATTTCTGTATCGGATGAAATATTATTATTTCAGATTGGTTTAATGAGGAGTGGACGATTATTAGCTGAGGAGTCACCCAGGGCTCTTCTTACCATGTACAACTGTCCATCCCTTGAGGATGTGTTCTTAAAACTCTCCAGGAAGCAGGGACAATATGCACAACCCACCACGGAATTAAATATCTCAAATAATATCAGTCTGGTAAGCATAAATATATATCTTGGTTACAAACAAAGAGATATACTCGATGAATTTCTTTCGATGACGTCTATCAGTCAGGAACTTAAGAGTTCCGTGACTTTATAGGTTATAGTCTATTTTTCTTTTTTTCTTTTTCTTTACCCTTTAAGCCGTCGCCGATACTTGTCTATGAATTTCCGAGTCGGTACGTGCTTTCCAAGTGTACTTATTCCAGGAATCATTTATTAACAGGCATCCTTAAACTGGGGCAAGAAAGACGAATCGGTGTACGTGACTGATGAGTCCGGAGTAGTCGGCCTTAACTTTCATCAGAGTAAAGAAGTTCTCATCCATGACACGACGAATGGCGTTGGCAGCCATTACGACGTAAGATCATCCTGAGTTTCATTGTGACCCGAGGAAAGCTTGCCGTCACGTTCGCAATTATTCTCACCTAAATCCATGTTTTTTTTTTCTTTCTCTTTCCTCTCGCAACATCATGCAGCTCAACGGGAAACCATTGCCTGGCGTCAAGGGGGAGTCTTCGTCCGTGGAGTGCGAAGATTGCGGTGACTGCTCGGATTGCTATAGAATAACCAGTCCTGGGAAAATGCGGGCGCTGTTGCAAAAAAACTTTTTGCGAATGTGGAGAAACGTTGGGTTAGTAGCGAAGGTTTAGATTTTTTTTTTTTTTTTTTCATCGTAAATCATACGATTTTGAAAATATGTCAGTTCTACAGATTTTACGGTCATCGGAATATATTTCATTTCGCGTACTCTTACTTTCTTATAAGCATAAATGGCAAATCTTGTACGCGAATACGTATGCGATTTTTTTAGAGCCTTAATAGATGCGTCTTACTAACGAGCGTGATTATTGTATATTCATATCATCTTGATTGCACAGCATTTTATTATCATACGTAACGAACCTATCGTTTTATCACGTTGCAGAGTGATGCTCTTCATCTTTGCTCTGCCGGTCATGCAGGTCATACTTTTTTGTCTTGCTATCGGACGAGACCCGACTGGACTAAAATTGGCCATTGTCAATCACGAAATGAATTACGAAAATATGTCTTGTCCAGTATCGGAAAATTGTAGTTTCACCAATTTGAGCTGTCGATATCTCAGGTTCCTCGACAATAATACAATGATCAAAGTGAGTATTACGAAAGTGACAATGGTGACTGTGATGGTCTTGATTAAGACAGGGTACTGAGAGTTCGATGATTCTTCAGGAATATTATCCCGATCCTGAATCCGCGATGGAAGCTGTGCGCAAAGGTCAAGCTTGGGGTACTTTGTACTTCACGGAAAACTTCACTGACGCTCTGGTAGCGCGAATGGTCCTTGGAAGGGATGCTGATGACGAGACGCTCGATCAGAGCGAAATTAGAGTCTGGCTCGATATGTCCAGTAAGTGTTTTCTTAATGGTAGCTACATCTAAGAGTAAATAATTTTCTTACGTTTCAAATTCTGTACTACAGTTATTTTTTTATTATTTTAATTTCTAGATCAACAGATTGGACTCATGTTAGCTAGAAACCTTCAGTACTCGTACAGGGACTTCGCTAAGGATCTGTTAAAATCTTGTGAACGGAATGAAAAGTTAGCGGATGTTCCCATTCAATTTGAAGAACCGATTTATGGTTCCAGTGAACCGAGTTTCACGGATTTCGTAGCTCCTGGTGTTATTTTAACGTAAGTTTACTGATCTTAACTTAACGGAAGCTCATCGCTCATTATCGCTCATTAATTAAATCAATAATTTCTTTAACTCCGATTACAGCATCGTCTTTTTCTTGGCTGTGGCACTGACGTCTTCCGCATTGATAATCGAGAGAATGGAGGGTCTTCTCGATCGAAGTTGGGTAGCTGGTGTTTCACCTGGCGAAATTCTATTTTCTCACGTTGTCACACAATTCGTCGTGATGTGCGGCCAAACCGCACTTGTCCTTATCTTCATGATTCTCGTATTCGACGTTAAATGTAAAGGTGACATCGGCTGGGTCATCATCCTTACGATACTTCAGGGTCTATGCGGCATGTGTTTCGGTGGGTATATTACCTTGAAGAATCTTCATTTTCTTACCTGGAATTGATTGGACAATTACATAGTATATCATTAAAACGATATAAGAGTCTATTTACGAGTGACCTTTCATTTGCTACAGATCTCTTGAAACTTAATATGCAATGATAATTATTAGACTCGGACAAATACATTTATAAAAACCAAATCATGCTCAGTGATCCATACGAAGCTATTATAAGTTCTTACGCCAGTTATCTCTTTGACCAATCACACGCTAGAAATATTTATAACTTAATAATCTCGTTGATCGTGCAGCTATTCTGTAAAGTATAAAGAAACTCGTACTGGCATATTACATAATCATGTATCGATAATGAGTATACTTATCGGAAACGTTAATGATTTTTTCTTTTCATTTCTTATTTCATAGGATTTGTGATTTCGGCGATTTGCGAACTCGAAAGAAATGCCATTCAGTTGGCCCTTGGCAGCTTTTACCCTACGCTTCTGCTCAGTGGTAAGTAATGCCAATACTGCATTGACAATTATAATAATAATACGCGATATTGTTTTCTGTGTAATGATCAAGGTCGATTTTATAGGTTATCAAGCATTAATACATCAGACAAGTTCATTATGAACTTTGTATTAAATCGAATAACGTATCCGATCATCTGAAATTCGTACCGATTTATACATTATTTATCTGAAGCTCATACATCACAGTCACATAACGTACTTGATAAAATCATCTGTCACTTAGCATGACAATAGCGTCAGATAAGCGCACATCTTTAAAAAAGTATGAACGATGCAATAAGTACGCAAAAGATTGAAAAAGAGTAAAATGTTTTTTCGAGTTATTTTAACCGAACCTATAGTTCAAAAAATTTAAGAGAAACTTCAAATCGACGTACATATCAAACAATTTCTATATTTTTCCTTTTATCCATTTACATAGTACAGTCGAATATCTTAATATTTTTCTTATTGACATTAAAGAGTTCCCATTAAAATGTTTCAGGCGTCATTTGGCCAGTGGAAGGTATGCCTACGATACTACGATACATATCCCAAGCTTTACCATTAACCATGGCTACCACGTCACTACGTTCAATGCTCACCCGCGGTTGGTCCATCGTCGAACCCGACGTCTACAACGGTTTCATCTCCACCATCCTCTGGATCGTCGTTTTCCTCACAATAAGCATGCTGGTTCTCAAGTTCAAACGTGGTTAAACAAAAGCATACCACCGATGCGGGTCCTATGTACAGTATGTGAAAATTATAAAGAGTGACTACGCAAAGTCCAAGTTTACCGAAGAGCATTGGGAGAGGAAAGCGCGCGGATCGACTTTAGTCCTTTACTCGATCGCGCGATTATCCCTGGCAAGGTCAACGATGCCGAAGACATCCTTGCCAGCCTTGGTAAAGTTTCGGTCGGTAAGAACCACCGGTGTCATCCGGACGTGCGCTATCGGAGGACTACCTTTATTATATTATTTTTATTTTATTAATTATCCACAAAATTTAACCCCCTTTATCGATAACCGACTTGAGACTGTGATGACGGAGAAGAGCGAAACCTCAAACCTAGATGGTCGTAAGGGCCCAGAAATTTTGAGTGGCGACGCTGGCTGTATCAATGACTCCAGTATCTCGGGATTTTAGGGCAAGACGCTGTTCTGTCTTTTTTTTTTTGTTTTACAACCTTTGCTGTTCTTAGTAAATTTAAGGACATGCAGAAGCTGTGCGGCTATTCGCAATGTTGATGGTGGAGGAGATACATGGATGTGTTATATGACTTTTATCAACTCTTCTCATCTTGCGGGAGATCTTTCTTATCTCGTTAAATCAAAAACAACGCATCGATCTTAATCCATAGGCACCGCGCTCGTAATGGCCGTTGCGTGCTTTTGTGTCTATTATTTTGTGTCTATTATGCGTCTCTGTGTGCTCAACGATCGCTCGAGTTCTACGAGTTTCTCGCGAGATGACGATCTTACCGTTGTGGACCATCCTCCTATCCGTGGTACAGAATGTCAATGTTATGGGAAAACATGTGGTGTTTTGAATTTTATGCTCGAAGAATAGGTTTTTGGTAATGTAATACGTTGGTGAAACTCTGGTCTTGTAACTTTTGGATTTCGTTATTGTATCAATTGGTCGACTAATGACATTCGATAATATCGTTCGACTGTCTAGTTACCTATTTTATCGAAATTATTCAAGACGAGCGTTTTGGTTTTGTATAATTGTTGGCTATGGTTTTTATTAAATTTCATTAGGTTCGATTAATTATTGGATCGTCAATCCTAGAGGTGTTCATTGCGGTAAATTCGTTCTCGTGGATAAGAAAAAGATTGTAATTAGTATTTTTTTTATAAGTTATTAGGAAGTAGCTGTTAGCGTAGGACGATTATACTTGCCCATGACTTAAGTATGTTTTATTTAACTTGTAACAATTAAAGTGTGCGAACGGAAGGAATTCTTACACTTTTTTCAAAAAAGAAAGATTATATCATCCGTCCTCAAATAAAGTTTTTAATTGTAATTGTACATATAAATATATATCGTAATATGTTGATTTCGAAGTAGCGTAATAATGTGGGTCACGGTGTCTTTTTTTTTTCGCAAAAATCTTCATCCAAGTTAACTTGAGCGATTCGACGTTGTTTTTCGTTACGTTACAGTTTCCGCGGGTGCTTCGACCATATAATGCAATCAAGACGAAAGAAGTATAACTGATCAGGATATGTTGGTATAATTCTTTTTTAATGTATTAATTGATAAAAATTTTTTGCGAGAGTTAATTTTATTTGCTCTTGAATATCAGACGCGTGATAAGGTGTTGTCGTGTGATACTATTGATGCACGATAAACAGAGTCTTTATGCACGAGGTTAGGAAAATTTCTGTAATTTAATGTGTTATCAAGGGAAAACAATCAACGCGTCAATGAGCATTCGAAATGAGAGTAAAAATCTTTTTTGACGAATTGCTCTACGTAAAGAATTATATACTTAAGGATTTAAGGAATTCTGCCGATGGTATCGACTACGGGCAAGCTACGTTGCGTGAAACTATGTTTATTGAATTTTTTATCAAATGTTTAATTAAATGACGATTACAGCATTCAATAGAATTTAAGACGAAACATATAGTTAATTGTTCGAGCAGAGTTTTGTTAATTATCGAGATTTACATATAACGGGAAGGATATCAAAATTTGTACAATGGCGTGAAAATTGTTAAAATATTATAGAAGAAAATAAAAAGATTTTTCGATTATGGCTTATAGTTGATGTATCATATGATCGTATCCACTACTCGTTGCGGAATGCACCTTTACGCGAGAATACAAATATCTATTTAGACATACATAATTGCAGTTTACGAGAAACAAAGAATGAAGAGTCACGGAAATATTAATTGATTCATAAAGTTTTTTTTCCACCAGTCATTTATCAATTTTCCACTCGTTAATTAATTGATTTATAAACAGTAGGTACCAATAAACGGATACGAGAAGAAGAAACACCTTTTTTTTAAGAAAAAATACAATTACATAAAAAAGTATACTGACGCACGAGCTAATAATAATAAGTATGTATATATATATATTGTAAACACATAATAAAGTACCGTAATCCTATGTAAAAAAATATTCGAAGGTACTAACAAGTTGTGCTAATTATTTTATTTCTGTTCTTACCTTACTGCTTGATATTATTTGCCCCATCGTTATAAATGTTCATTTCATGTTTACAAAATCATTTTGTACTTTTCATCTTCCGCGAACCAATCCTGATTATCTTGAACGACATGCGTCCAGTATTCTGTTAAAAAGAGAGACAATGACTAAAACAATTCGAATATAGGGTAATATATGTTTTTCTAGCAGAAAATAATATACTTCAATAAACAAACCTTTTAAATCTTGAAGAGTACCGTCAGTACCGCCATATTCGATTGGTAAGATATTCGTGGGTACTATTTTATGTATTGCTTTGATTCCCTGATTATGAATATGAATTCTTTTTCTTAACTTGTGACTCATAAATTGCTTGAATACGTTCAGCACCACGTTCACATAAATAGGAGCGTTCACGAAATCCATAGATTGAATTCGCATAGGGTAACAGCCTTGCCAGGAATGCACAAGACGCTTGACAACACTAGGTGGCATTTGAAGAGCATGATTCAATGTTACGCCATTTAGGTCGAAAACTACTTTGACACCATGTAAAGAAACCATTTCGTTTTGCTTTATTGCTACATCCAAGATCATTTTACCAGCCTGAAATTGAGTATTTAGTTAATCCACATCATTTTGATTGCATTTCACTCTATCAATATCCTAACCTTGAATACGTTGGCTTGCTTATGTTTAATTGGATCGTGCACTGCTACCCTGATAAGGATTACCATACGTCCTTCACTGTCGACTTTTCTCAAAGGTAAAAAAACCCTAGTAGTCAAATAAATGTGTGAGCTTTCGTCCATATGCGTTTGAAAAATTTAAATAAATCTGCAAATACCCCAAATCGAACAGTTCCAGCAGTTCCGGTAGAAAAGGATCTCGATAACTGTACCATTCAGGACTGCGCGCTCTTAATTCATGGTAATTACAAAACTTTTTCTTGGTTTTTTCGACATCGAATTTACAACCGCGTAGAAACCGCAGAATAAAAAAGTCGTCTGAATAGATAAAATCATATTGAATGGTTATGAACTCGATTTTTCAAATCTAGCGATTCTATCGAACTAGTCGATTCTCTATATCTCATAGGTTTCGATTAGATTGATATTAGGTAAAGTGCGAGATGATCAAATGACAACAATTTGTACAGATAGATAAATATGAAAAAAGAAAATCACGTCGTATCATTAAAAACATTATTTTTACCTGTACGAGCACATAGATCCTTGTTTCTCAAAATCCATTGTCTAATCTCCTCGATTTTTAGCTCCCTAACCGCATCAGTCTCGTTTAAATTAACCGCCGCAAATTTTTTCTCCTCAACCGACAACTTGCATACGTAAACTGGTGGTTGAGACATCTCACATAACAAGTTATTCTTCGAGCAATAGATTAGTATAACAAGTCTGTGTTCCACAGAAGTTTAACACTTGAAATTCTACATGCGTATCGAGTTTTCTCCCTAACGTACACTGACTGGAGATAAAATAATAACGATAGCCACTCAGATAAATCAAGCGTACACTAATGTGATACACGAATTCCACTGCTCACTAGCTCTATCATGCGGTAAGTCATTGAATTATAGCTATTTAAATCGTTTAAATATATCTACAATAGATCATTTAAATTGCACTTTATTTTTATTCAATTTTTGTGTCCATCGTAGTGCAGTATATTCTTTGAAAAATCATATCTATATACCTTATATTATTATTATTCAGAATATTTTTCATTGACTTCGTTATCGTTGTTAGGTCGCGTAATTGTTCCAAGGTTTCTTTATCGTGGGTTTCTTCTAAAATTATTTTGCAATGAATAATCTGTATCGAAAAGTGTCTTTAATTAACACGGTAAATTGGTATATATATACTTTTATTATGTGCTTCATTGTTTGTTGGAGTTGATTAAATTTTATCTTCATGCATTCAGACGAATTGTTTTCGTTTATTTCGGATTCCAGTGTTTGCGGAGTTGTGTTAGTTTTTGGTATTGGCTGGCTATATGTAGTCACGCAGAATTTTTCAAAAGCAGTTTCCAATTGGTGCTGAATTTCTGACCGATTATTAAGAATATTTTTAATATTTGATTTTACATCAATAAACTCTGCTTGTGCACTTTTCAAATTATTTTCTAAATTCATCACAGTCTGTAATATATTTTTTTCCATTTGTGATATCAAGATTCTTCCTTCTGTGTCGTATTTTTCATTTCCTTGAAGATGACGGAGGTTTTGTTCTTTTGTTAATTCATTTCGAGTTAACTCCAATTTCAATTTAATCTGTGTACAAACAGATAATCAATTTTCAGATACTTATATTAATATTTCGTTCTTGATTTTTTTTTCTATGGTGATTTTGAAAGTTTTACCTGGGTATAGCTTTCGATCGCTTCTGTCAACGTTTTTCTTTGCGCATCAAGATATTCGTCGTTTTTCTGTAACTCTTTGTTTAATCGAGCGGCCTCTTCAATTTTATTAATAAACCGATAATAAGCTTCCTCATGAGTTGGTACCTATTGATAAAAATAAGTTGTAATATACTGTTTACGAATATATCTACATTACGTGTTAATACTAACTGTAATATTTTTAATAAAAATTAATATACATAGCCTGCAACTAACTTCAGATACCAAAGAATTAATTTCATCAGCAATCGCAGAATCTGGATAGGCTAAACCATCAGAAAGCTTTGTATGCCTCGTAATTTTCATAGCTTTTATTGCATCACCTTCAGCTGAATCAGGTAATCCAGGCCCCAAAGTAATACCTGGCATAAAATTTTTTTAAATATTTCGCTAATTTTAAACACTATTCAAGTTCTTAATTCACAGAAATGATCATACTCGATTTCCGAAGGTCGCCCACTTTTTCTTTCACTTTTTCCATTGACGCTGCCGATTTTTTTGAATGTAGACGTTCGATGTCTCTACGAAATTTATTACTCTGCGACGAAGAAACATTTTTACTGCTTCCCATCTGATTTTTACAATTATTCAAATTATCCAATAATAATAATTAATAACAAAGTATTACCTTCGATATTCTTAAACTACTCGAAATGTCGAGATGTTGCGTTGAATCCTTTTTAGATGCTGCAAGCATTTCAGCATTCTTCACCGCTTCGATCTTTTCCAAATTAGTCCTATATAATAAAATATTTCACATAGTATCATCCGTCATATAATTTTTAAGCCCTAAAATACTTTCTAGAAAATTATAATTAAATAATATGTACTTGGTATATAATTCCTTAAAAGCTCTCAGCAATACTTGAGCTTGTGAAATACTTAGGAGCATTAAATCAGGCAGTGTCCCATTCAAAAAATTAATGCCATCTTGTTTTATTTGCTCAACTCTAGCCTTTGACATATTCATCAAAGCTTCCTTGTGAAAAAAAATGTCATTAATATCCAACTCGTTCTTTAACAAATTCACCTTATCCTGAAGTCTTTGAATGATTAATGATGCTTGTGGAACGATGTTGTATGTCACTTTTAAGGGTTGCAATTTAGCAATTTTGTTACTGAATCGTAACATTGATAAAGTGATGTCAAGATCTTCTCTACTTGCTCGTATATGAGCTATACAGCTGGTTGAGAAATTACAAAACAAAATATAAGTCATTTTTGGATTAAGCTTCTAAAAAATTGGACTTATTACCGTATAATAGAAGTAACTCCAAGAGCATTTCCTAAATATTTTAAAACATTGCTTGTACGAACAACAGCAGTTGTTGAAATATTTTCAGAAGTCCCAAGATATACAAAAAATTGTTCCAGCTGTGTTTTAGCCAAGTTTGCATTTCCCACGTCGAAGGCTGTCTTAAAACAATTGGGTTTGCCAATTGTATCGACACCCGCCATATCAACAATGTGTATCTAAATTGGTATGCAAATTTATAATGAAATGATCTTTTAATATTTTTTTTAAAGATATTCCAATTGGATCTTACTTTTGATGCTGTCACCACAGCCCATGATTTTATTAAGCTGGTACTTGATATATGAAATGTAATTATAGCAGTTCCTAAATGAGAGTTTGGGTAACTAGAACCCTTTATGATGGTTCTATGTGCTTCACCTTCAAAAATTATTTTTAAGGTATCTTCCTCGTTGCGTAAGGGAACCGATGTGATATTCTATATAGGTATAAATATTTTCTTTGGCTTAGTTATGATGGTGTATCTAATAAAACTTTACCTTGAAAGAATCAAGTTTTGGAGTATGCGAAGTATTCCCATTCTGAGGAGTGAGAAGATCCTTAACGTTGTTTCCACGTAATTCAATGAAGCTTAATTGATATTCAATATCACTTATGTGCTTTCTACATTTTTTTTCAATAAACAAATCAGCTAACAGCCGTGCCAGTAATCCTCTGTTCTGTATACAAATAATATGTAATTTATACCATTTATTTTAGTTCATTTTTTATTCTAATTCATGTAATAAATATAGTTTTAATAATTACTTCCCAATTACTTCTCAGGCCACTAATTGTGAAGCTCTTTCCAGTAGCCGTTTGTCCATACGTCATTATCACGCCATCCACACCATCTAAAACGCTTAATGGAATTTAATTTCACAAAAATTTTTTATCTCTGATTTGTTTATTTACTTTTTTAGAAAATCTTTCGTAACCCCTTGATAAACGTCTTCTTGGAAGGAATTATAAAATATTCCATCAGTTGGAAATCTCCAATAGGTTTGATCCTTTACTTTTGAATCTTTGTGGAATTTAGCATCTTGCAAGCATTTTACATAAATTATCTAATTAAAAAATAGAACTGTATTTTTCAACATAAAAGAAACGAGATATGAGAAATATATTGTATTTAATGAAAATATATCTAACGTTGCGTTCGGGTTGAATTTTTACACATGATTCACGTGTATTTACAGATGGAAGAATCCTTACAAAGACTTTTATATTCTTTATTTTAGTATTACCTTCCTCTTCATTATCAGTCATAATAGGTGGATATTTAATATATTTTCTGCTGCACCAACCTGGTATTAGAATAAATTCAATGATATTAATTGTGTTAAATGTTTTTAATGGTTTGAATTGTACGCGACAACTAAGGTTAGATCCTCATTCATAAATGTGCGCCACCAGTTGTAGTGCGCGCGCATTTAATACCGATTGTTGACAGAGATGAGTAGGGAGATGACAACGCTACAGTTTTAGGCGATACCAAAAACATGGCGCTAAATCGTAGCGGCGAGTCCGGGAATAGAATTTTGTGATCATCGC